TATGTCAAAACGAAAAAAATTATTACCGGCAGAATTCTGTACGATGATTTTTTTAAGTAGAATTTTTCTTTGAAAAAAAAGTGTTTCAGGCCGAAAAAAATTAATATCTCAGAAACTTCTTGATTTTTTTATTTAAAAAAATTTGAGGTTATTTAAGATAGAGAAATGTATAGTTTCACCAAGTTTCGTCAAAATTAAATTATTTTTGCGGAAATGAGAAATAAAAAACGAAAATTCAGAAAAAACCTGTTCTTCGGATTTTTCTCGGAAATTTTGAGGTTATGTTGTTTTCAACCCCCTAAATCAACCCTCCGCCGTCCCTGCTCAAGCATTTATTTTTTTTTTCGTTTATCATAAGCCCCTTTACCATTTCCACTTATAAAAGTCCAGGAAACAATTTTCTTTTTTTTTTCCTCTAAATGAGTTAATTCGATCAGTCTACAATGTAAAACAATATATTTATTTTGAAAAATTTCCGATGGCGTAGAAATTATAGGGGTTATCAAAACCGCTTACGGACGCCTATAATCCATTTCCACAATATTTTGTAAAATACACTTCATAATAAATATAAATGGTTTTCATAGTTTAAGAAAAAATAAATAAAAACAAAAAAAATGTTTTTTCAAGAGTTTATATCACTGAAAGAAAGTATTTGTAAGAAAAGGTGTATACTTCAAAATGACATTATTTTGACGAGACCTATCGATGGTTAAACTTACACAAAATTTTAATTGAACTGAAAAATGTTTATTATTACATCTATAACGATAAATTTGTTATCTGAATGCACTGTATTAGTTCATCCCTTGTATAGGATGTCCTACTTAATTTTCCCACCCCACTTATCTCGGTTACTTTTACAGATATAAAAATTTTATTAAAACAAAACACAAAAGTGTTTTTTTATGAAGTTTTGTCTTTGTAGCAACAAAAAAATAATTCAATTTTAAATATCAATGTGACAGATACAACTTATAATTTTTTAATGGAACTCCCTGAAAAATATTACATTTTTGGATGTATGTAAACTTTTAACAAAAGTATATACATATGTGGCACTTATTTTTGACGGTTTTTGATATATTTGCTTTTAATCGTATAAATGAACCCCGCATATTGCATAATCAAGATTTCCATGATTTTATTGATTATTTCCAATAATTATTTTGACGTTTATGACAATTAAAATAACAATAAACAGTAATTGTGAATTACTTAACAAAAAGCGAAGATAAGTGGAGTGGGAAAGTTAAGTGGGACACCCTGAACTTATTGGAGAAGAGTATTCCTGTTGTTTCATAGTATGACCATGGGCAAAATAATCAAGGGGATTAATGTAGGGTGACCGTTGAAGTTATGGTACAGGACCTCTTCTGCCTGTCCAACTGATAGTTATTTATTTATGAGTTACTAACAACTACTTAATGACCACAAAACAAGTTCAACTATTGCTAGATTTGTCTGAATTAACAAAAATTTTGGAAAGGGAAAATAAATTATACTACTCGTAGTAGTTGTTTCCCGCAATATGACCAGTTAGGAATCTTGTAATTTTTTTTGTTACGATTTATAGAAAGAAAATTGAATTTATTTGAGTTGGCTTAATATCTTTAAAATAAGATAAAGAAATATCAGCTAATGATAAAATACATGTTTTTAAAAAATGAAATAATGTCGTTAAAAGAAAATTAAAAGAGGTAGCAATTTTCTTATAAACAGTGGTAGATGTACATATGTCAAAATCCCCTGTAAATTGCTCTACTTCAGGGAGGGGCACATTATCAGTCCATTCGGGAGCGGCTGAGTTATTACAACAGATATCATTTATAATTCAAGAGCCAGAAAAAGTATTACTTTAATATGAAATTAACAAAAAACAATGGACTAAGAATATAAAAAAAATAGTAATATTGCGTCTCTTGTCATTTTGTTTATTTTTCTAATAAATTATCAAATGACGGCATGTAAAAACCCAAGGGTATTAAGCATTAAAATTAAAACAAAATTTGAATCTGATAAATGTCAAGGTATAGGCCTTCCTCTGTCTTATGTACAGGGTGTCCCAAAGTTCGCGTCTCGAGCCCATAACAGAAATAAAAGAAATGAACATTACTGGGCCACTAAAAATCCACACTATGTTAATCCCATTNATAGAAAGAAAATTGAATTTATTTGAGTTGGCTTAATATCTTTAAAATAAGATAAAGAAATATCAGCTAATGATAAAATACATGTTTTTAAAAAATAAAATAATGTCGTTAAAAGAAAATTAAAAGCGTTAGCAATTTTATTATAAACAGTGGTACATGTACATATGTCAAAATACCCCATGAATTTAGATCCTTGTTGGCCAAAAATACTGGAATAATAATGAAAAAAATGACAATATGATTTAATTAAATTATCCAGTGTGATAAAAAAATCCCACTCAAAATGAATTAACAAAAAATAAATAGATTTTTTCAAAATTTTCTCACAAAATTATTTTGTTACATTCCAATTCATCGTACTACCGCCATGTTTAATACTCGTATAAAATATCGAAACTTCCCCTGTAAATTGCTCAGGCTCTACTTAGGGAGGGGCACATTATCAGTCCATTCGGGAGCGGCTGAGTTATTACAACAGATATCATTTATATTCAAGAGCCAGAAAAAGTATTACTTTAATATGAAATTAACAAAAAACAATGGACTAAGAATATANTCGTCACGGACAATGTGGAGATTATCAGTCAGGATATGTACAATGACAGCGGAATTGTCAGTGACGCTCTGGAGAGGGAGGATACGCTGAAAAGGAGGTCCAGGGAATCGGTGGATGGGTCCTTGGATGGCAGGAAGGTGACTGAGATGGTGAAGAAGATGTCGGATGTCAGTCTGACAAATGGTGAGGCATATAAACATAACCTATATTCTTGCCACATCTAGTTTCTCTTCTACATGCTCAGCGTTTTTAACTTATTTGAGAATATTTACCGCCCTTTATTATTAGAGTTGGTAGTACACATACTCATTGTCAGAGCGCAAAAGTGCAAGTAAGTCGAAAACGCTGTTTAAAATGTACTAACTCTTAACGGTTGAGAAGACTTCGTTTTAAACAAAAAAGTTCTTGTGAACATTGGTTGTCCATCGCTTCCTAACCGAGATATAGGGTGTTGAGTTTAATTTTTTTTATCCTTTTTCGAGATATCTAAAAAACAGCAAGTACTAACGAAACCAAATTGAGCATGTTTTGTATCAACATAATGTCGTTTAAAAATTATCTACAAACGATTCACTACCACTACCAGTGACGTGGTAGACAGGTAGTCAGTGTCACTTTTTGTACAGGGTGATTCACTTTTTATGGTTAGGACTTTAACCATTGATAGATCTCGTCAAAATAATGTCATTTTGAAATAGGTACACACTTTTTCTTCCAAATGCTTCCTTTTAGAGATATAAGCTTTGTTTACCTAATTCTAATGAATTCATAAGCCATTTTTCTTGAAAACCAAGCATTTCAGTTAAAAATAGTAAGAATCCTTTTTTCTTTAGAATAAACTGCAATGTAAAACAATATATTCATTTTGAAAAATTTCCAGTGGCGTAGAAATTATAGGGGTTATCAAAACCGCTTACGGACGCCTATGATTGATCAATTTTCACAATAATTTGTAAAATCAATAAAGCTTTTTCTTCATACACTTCATAATAAATGGTTTTCATAGTTTAAGAAAAAATAAATAAAAACCAAAAAAAAATGTTTTATTCAAAAGGTTATATCTCTAAAAAGAAAGTTTTTGAAAGAAAAGGTGTATACTTCAACATCACACTATTTTGACGAGGTCTATCGATGGTTAAAAGGCCTAATCATAAAAAGTGAATCACCTTGTATACAATTTCTACGCCTATGAGTTATATTGAAATTTCATGCCATTTTTGATGTCCCTGATTAATTTTACATGAAAATCTGTTCTTGCAAAATTATCATAAAATAAAAGGGTTCTAAATATTATGACGTGAAACCATTTTAGTGGACATAAAGATTACACAAAATTTTAATTGAATTGAAAAATGTTTATTATTACATCTATAACGATAAATTTGTTATCTGAATGCACTGTATTAGTTCATCCCTTGTATAGGATGTCCTACTTAATTTTCCCACTCCACTTATCTCGGATACTTGTACAGATATAAAGATTTTGTTGAAACAAAACACAAAAGTGTTTTTTATGAAGTTTTGTGTTTGTAACAACAAAAAAATAATTCAATTTTAAATATCAATATGACAGATACAACTTATTATTTTTTTAATGGAACTCCCTGAAAAATATTACATTTTTAGATGTAAACTTTTATCCTGAACAAAAGTATATAACATATTATGTGGCACTTATTTTTGATATATTTGCATTTAATCGTATAAATGAACCCCGCATATTGCATAATCAAGATTTCCATGATTTTATTGATTATTTCCAATAATTATTTTGACGTTTATGACAATTAAAATAACAATAAACAGTAATTGTGAATTACTTAACAAAAAGCGAAGATAAGTGGAGTGGGAAAGTTAAGTGGGACACCCTGAACTTATTGGAGAAGAGTATTCCTGTTGTTTCATAGTATGACCATGGGCAAAATAATCAAGGGGATTAATGTCGGGTGACCGTTGAAGTTATGGTACAGGACCTCTTCTGCCTGTCCAACTGATAGTTATTTATTTATGAGTTACTAACAACTACTTAATGACCACAAAACAAGTTCAACTATTGCTAGATTTGTCTGAATTAACAAAAATTTTGGAAAGGGAAAATAAATTATACTACTCGTAGTAGTTGTTTCCCGCAATATGACCAGTTAGGAATCTTGTAATTTCTTTTGTTACGATTTATAGAAAGAAAATTGAATTTATTTGAGTTGGCTTAATATCTTTAAAATAAGATAAAGAAATATCAGCTAATGATAAAATACATGTTTTTAAAAAATAAAATAATGTCGTTAAAAGAAAATTAAAAGCGTTAGCAATTTTATTATAAACAGTGGTACATGTACATATGTCAAAATACCCCATGAATTTAGATCCTTGTTGGCCAAAAATACTGGAATAATAATGAAAAAAATGACAATATGATTTAATTAAATTATCCAGTGTGATAAAAAAATCCCACTCAAAATGAATTAACAAAAAATAAATAGATTTTTTCAAAATTTTCTCACAAAATTATTTTGTTACATTCCAATTCATCGTACTACCGCCATGTTTAATACTCGTATAAAATATCGAAACTTCCCCTGTAAATTGCTCAGGCTCTACTTAGGGAGGGGCACATTATCAGTCCATTCGGGAGCGGCTGAGTTATTACAACAGATATCATTTATATTCAAGAGCCAGAAAAAGTATTACTTTAATATGAAATTAACAAAAAACAATGGACTAAGAATATAAAAAAAATAGTAATATTGCGTCTCTTGTCATTTTGTTTATTTTTCTAATAAATTATCAAATGACGGCATGTAAAAACCCAAGGGTATTAAGCATTAAAATTAAAACAAAATTTGAATCTGATAAATGTCAAGGTATAGGCCTTCCTCTGTCTTATGTACAGGGTGTCCCAAAGTTCGCGTCTCGAGCCCATAACAGACAAACGAAATACTACAGTAAAAATCTGTTCAGATGGCGCGAATCGGGACTCGCACTTGAAAAACATTTTTTCAAAATTCGGAAAATAAAAAAATGATATCATCAACTTTTCCATGAACATACATACCCATTTTTTATGATAACTAAAATTATCTATTTTTTATGAAAATTTTTTGTGCAGAAATTTTTTCTCTATCTCTTCTCCTTAAAAAGTTACAATAATACAATACATTATACAAAAATGTATCCTATTGTATTGGAATTAGTCATGATTTAACCAACATTGCTGTGAAAACAATGGCTGAAACTGCTGTCACAAGTCGGTTTACATATTAGTTTCTGTCAAGTGCTATTTCTTGCATGATAAACAAACTAGTAAGTGATTACTAAAAATTAAAAAATGTTTACGAACAATGAAAAAGTGGACATAATTTTAATTTATCGAGAATGTCACAAAAAATGCCAGAAGGGCTGCTAACTTTATCATGAGGATATCTAGAGCGTCAACCTGTTACCCCAAAAATATTTGACAGATTAGAACTAATTTTGCTAACGAAAATGTATTTTCATCAAGAAAAGGGAAAAGAATTTCAAAATCAGTTCTCAGTAGCTAGGGTATTACAATATTTTCAGGAAAATCCTAGAAATTCTATACGACAGGTTACTTTTGCATTAAATTTAAAAAGAAGCTCTGTGCAAAGACTTTTGAGCTACAATGGTTACCATGACTAAATAACTTGGAGCACTTATCTCACATACATGCTGAAAAAAACTTAATTATATAGCGCAAATAATGGTTAATTTGGAAATAGATAATAGACTCTTACAGACATTCTTTGGACCGATGAGAGTCGCTTTATAAGTAATGGCAAGCCAAATAAAAGAAACAAACATTACTTGGCAATTGAAACTCCACACTATGTTAATCCTATTCAAAATCAGGGCCATTATGGAATAAATGTTTTCTGTGGCATTATTGGAATGCATTAATTGGCCCACACTTTTATGAATATGTATTGAACGCTAATAGCTATTTACAGTTTTTGCAAGAGAAGCTTCCAGCACTGATTGAACATGTGCCGCTGCAGCTCAGGTTGAATATGTGGTTGCAACACGATGGTGCTCCTCCACATAAAGCTAAAAGAGTTACAGACTATTTAAAAAATACTTTCGGAACTAAGTGAATTGGATGGGCCTGTAGAATGGGCTTCAAAGACTCCAGAATTAACGTCCCTAGACTATTTTTTATGGAGAACATTTAATAATCAAATACCTATGTATATAAGACACCCACGAGAAGTTTGGAGCATTTAAAGCAAAAGATTCAACATGTTTGTGAGAATCTTTCTAGAAAAACGTTGTTTAAAGCTACAAGGGAAGCTAGGAAAAGATTGGATAAATGCTTGGAAGTAGGAGGCATGCATATCGAAAAAATTTGAAAGTAATAATCATAATTCTATTTTGTTTTATATAAATTGTTTAATATTTTCTATATTTGGTTCTCCTATTTAACCGTCATTACGTGTATTGTTCCATTTTTCTCGTGGAGTGACTTTTTTTATGAAGAACATAGCAAGTAATACGTAAACAAATTTATGACAGGAGTTACAGCGATTGTTTTTCACAGTAATGTTGATTAAGTCATGACTAGTTCCAATACAATAGAATACATTTTTGTATAATGTTTGTTATCGTAACTTTTTAAGGAGAAAATATAAAGAAAAAATCTCTGCACAAAAAAATCTTCATAAAAAATAGATAAATTTAGTAATTGTGGAAAAAAGTTGTAATGTCATTTTTCTATTTTTCCGAATTTTGAAAAAAAAGTTTTTTAAGGGCAAAACGGACCTTAGCGGGTCCCTATTCACGCCAGATTTTTACTGTCGTTTTTGTACTGTACTGTACCTATGTCTGACGTCTCTGGCACTGACAATGCCCAGGAAAATAATTTGCCTTAAGTACTAAAGTTTGTTTGCCGACGTAATTTTAGAAACTGCCAACGGCTTGACGAGCAGTTTTGTAAGTGGGGTTCTCAGTATATTCAACAGTGGAAGAACAGATTTGCCCGAGAGAGTTTTAAGGGAACTCGGCCCAAGCAAGGCGAACAAAATTCAACGTACTTCTAGGGAGTCGTAACTTATAAACTCCCCAGAAGGATCGATTTGAAAATTCGTTTAAAGGACCTGTCTTAATAAGTGATATACAGGTTGTGTTTTAGAGACGAGAATGTTAGGATAAAATATACTGTTCGCAGTTTCTAGATTTTTCACTTTGCAGGAATTTCCAATATCTCTAAAGTGATAGTAGTCGACGTTATTATTACCATACAAAAAAAATGGAACGAATTGCCAGTGGANGGAATTTCCAATATCTCTAAAGTGATAGTAGTCGACGTTATTATTACCATACAAAAAACATGGAACGAATTGGCAGGGGAAATGTGAACTGAGTCATATATATGTATATAATGGAACGACAAAGCAAATTTATAACTTCCTGAAATCATTTAAATATTTAAATCGTTAGTACCTAATAGCTATAAACTTTAATATTTTTACATAAATCTTTCCGGTGCTTTATATTTCGTAAAAATTGGATCGCAATTTCTGTAGTTTTTTTATCAACTAAGAGTTTTTGGTTGTGTAAAGCAGACACAACTGTATTTTGTCTATTTACATACGATTTTAAATATATTTATTTATACCGTATTAAATTCATAAGGTATGCGGGTACTTATGTTATAAAATTTTATTTAAATCATTATATTATTGTTTTTCCTCAAATACCACACTTGACAGGACGTTGATACCATCATTTTCAAAGTCTAAAGCGATCAATCTTCGTCAAATTTACGATAATCTATCTACTAGCACTGTTTATAATTAGATTTAATCTAAATCATTCCCTGACAATATTTATAAGTTTTAAAGACAATAAAGATTACTAACTGTTGAGGTTTTTATACACCTAAAAATACATTACTCCGTTTTTAAACAGTATGTGTCTTATTCCAGGTGTTCTTAAACTATCTTAATGATGAAGGAAATAATTGAAAAAATAGTAAAATGTAATTGCCCTTATTATCCCGAGTTGACATTCTTATGTAAATAATTGCTAATATGTGCATACATTGTTATCTACGCGAGCTCTCACCTCTTTTGTACTAATAAAGTGTTGTTTTCTTCCTTTGTTCCTATTTTTTACGGCGGTTTTGAATTTGTAATGCAATGTTTTCTAGTATTGATCACTTAAATGCAACATGTAGGTTGTTATAAAAAAGGGCAAACAGAGATAAACATCTTAGAAAAAATTAAAAATCTAATTTAGTCATACAGAATTTTTAGCCCCTATGTTTATAGTAATGTAAGTGAATATACATGGTATTCTAAAAAGACTGGAACTATCCGATAACTTTTCTTGATTTAATTATGTCGAAAAAATTTCAGATAAAAGTTGTGGGATATATTGTGACGTTGAATATGACCTTTACGTTAATTTTCAGGGTCAACTTGAAAATTTTAAATGGAAAACCTTATTTTCTATGGTAGCAATCGACAGAGTGTCAAATTCTACGTCCGACCATGGGATCAGAAAATTTTTCCGGAATGTCCTTGCGGGTATTTGAAGATCAAACTCATTTTTCTCTGAATATTATCTCGATAAAACCGTTTAAATTAGATGATGACCTTTAGTTTCACCTAACAATGATTGTTGAAAATTATTGAAAATTGTTGTCACAATCTATTACTTTTATTCCATTATTTTTTTTTTATGAAAAATGAGTATGACCTCCAAGTGACCTGCGAAGAGATCCTAAAAATATTCTTTGATCGTAGAAAATAAAATGTTGCGCTATATCGGTTGCATAAAATGGCATATTACATTTAATATTAATTCGATCTTATTTTGACCTTGCATCTAGTGGTGAAGGTCATATCCAAGGTCACACATCTTTCAGAATTCGACGTTGTCGAGTTACTAGTAGAAAAATGTGTTTGTTCTTTAAATGACGTGCAACGGCGTATCAGAAACCATTTTCTAACCCCATATCTCTAATTGTAAGAAATTAAAATCTACCGCTCTATCGATCGGTGGCATAAAAATGTGTTCCGTGTATTTTCAAGTTGACTTTGGTTTTGACCAAGTCAAGGTCAAATCTAAAACCACTAGCATAATCGTTTCTTGATATCCTACAAGCTCTATCTGAAAGTTTTTAACCCTAAAAATTTATTGGAGGGTTTGAACCTTTTTGGGACACTGTATAACCTATATCGCTGCAGAGGAAATTGGAACTTTGTATTTAGTTCTCCAAATACTACAAAAGTATATTTTTTACTAGTTTACTCAGTTTTTTTATGTGAAATATCTCGTGAAATATACATCTCATCTACTTATTATAAAAAATTGTAATATTTTTCCATTTATGTAGCTTAATCAAAACTATGACAGTTAAGGGGGCGTTTTATAAATTATATCTGATATATTAAAGCAGCGTTTAACCACACACAGAAGTTAGGTGACATATAGTGCAAGGCAAGTAAGTGATAGACATTAAACTAAATTAATTAAATCTATATAAATATAAAAAAATTACTAACGTAAGTCTTGTATTTATTTAAATATCTTTAATATTGACATTTTAGAGTGTTATTCCTTCTATTTGTCCATATTACCAAAATTAACGCATTAACAATTGTAGTATATTTTTTAGTCCAGGCGGTAACTGTTTCGGGTTGGGTAAAACACGTATGATCGGAGATTTTTGCTTTAACGGCTTCTAATTAATATCAGAAATGATAATATTTCTATGCAAATAAAAAAAACGTGGGCTTAATTGTTATTGCAAAAAAGTATAAAAAAATAGCAAAAAAATTCATTTTTTTCTTGGATTTCTCGTCGACAACTTAGCAACTATTCATTTTAGACAAAAATGAAAGAGGAAAAAAAGTTTTGTAATTAAATTTTGATCAAGATAGAGTTGGTTGCAATTCGAAAAAATAATTATTGTTATTGTAAAAATCGGAAAAATCATTTAAAAAATTGCAAAAAATGCTAGTTTATTTGTCAATTTTTTTCAGACACTTGAATAATACCTAGGATCTTCATACTTTTCCCAATTAAACTTCTTAGTGCATAGAATCATCACACCAAATTTCATCCAATTCGGTTAGATAATTTTTACATAATAATTGTTTAAATTTTTTATTTTTTTT